TGACCAGCACGCGGGAGACCAAATAAACACTGACGCCCCAGTTGCAGACGGTATCAACGCAGAGCAGACTGCGGGTGACGGTTACCGGGCTGCTGGGGCGGCGTGCGGTTACCACCTAGAGACGCGAGCCACAGAGAGTGGCTCAACCCGGATTGGTAGACTACGCACGCGGAAGAACGAATCGGTATATAGCGAGAGCCAAGAGCCAGACTATTCACGCTCTGAAGATGGATAGACGAGACAACTATCCGAAAAGTCAGATAAACCTATCCCGGTGAACGTCCTTTCCCCTCTTTTGTGAAAAACTGCCACTGGTTCGCGACAGGCCTGTGTAGTATCCGACAGAACTTTTCACACGCCTCTGTTATGTTTCCAGAAAATAGAGACTCCCACTTAATGCGCGTGATTTCAGCCTTTAATTGGGCAGGAGAGAGGGAGACAGAGTGTCATCCTGCTTGTCTAAGAGGCACACTGTTTTTTTATATATGCACACCCAGCGATTCTTCAACTTTCGACCATACTGGAAATTGACCTCTCCGTTTTTGAATGAATCATTTGCCAGTTAGGACAAAAAAGTCTTCTAAATCACTCAGGACGCGAGGCATAATTTGATTATCATCATTATTTCTTCTAACTTTGTTTAGGATGAAGACGAAACCTCCTCCACAATCGATGTCACTTACGAACAGGAGGGTGAACCTGGAAGAGCTACATGGGGTGGAAAGATCGAATTTATACTCACTTGTGTGAGTTTTGCAGTCGGTCTGGGCAACGTCTGGCGTTTTCCCTACCTCTGTTTCAAACATGGCGGAGGTATGCTTTGCGTGTCTTCGTTTTTTTCCTGCGTCCTTATATTTTCAGTGCTCTGGAATTAGTCGACCAATCTTCCGAAACGTCTATTAGACAATTACGATATTTTGCTTATATTTTAATATAAAATTTGTAATGAGGCATTAGAACGTATTAAAGTTAATAATTATTTCATTCGGAAGGCAAAAGGAAGGGCATAAAAAGGGGTCCCTCCCATCTTAAAAAGGTCTTAGTCGGCGGCCCGACACCATTTTTGTTTCTTGATCAGACAGAACAGTTCGGTCCAAGATTTACTTGATTGTCAGTAATCGATATGGCCTCATTTCAGGTCGGGTGGAGGTTTCCACGGCGAAACACGTAAGTGACCAATACAAAAGCGGTCCAGTCTCATGAGTGATGATAGCGAAAAACCCAGAAAAGGCCTCTCCTATGTCCCCTGTGCAGGGCTTTAATTGGACACCGACTTAATTTGAAACATGGAGATAATCGTCTAGCAGAAAAATTTACTTTCGATCCACAATCATGATAAACAAATGCATAGCATGCATTCCTAGAACTCGCATATTCATTTCTATTGACAATCTCTTTGGGCGCGATTCACTCCGATCGGCTCGACGGTGGGAAACATTTGCCCTTCGAGAGTCGTCTACTTATGCGCAAATATGATTCCTGCACAGGTGTCTCGACAATAATGTGTTAGAAGGTGAAATGACGAACATACGTTTGTTTTCGATAATTCTCATCAGGCCTTTATATTTATATGG